GCTGGGCCCCCTATGGTCTCCCGGCCACAGTAAAGTGCACCCTTCCCCCCTTCCCCCATTTGCAGGCCGTGAGTGCAATCTAAAGCTTCTATTTACTATTTATTATTATTAAATATCATGAATTTGGGGGGCTGGCCTGACTTATGATTTTTAAATGCCTGGGATTTGCAGTGCTGTGCCAGTGAGAATTCAGACCGTAAATCTCTATCAGTTACCCAAGGGAAGCCCCCTAAATGAGTGTCATCATTGATCTAAAACAGCTCCGTGAATAGAAAGGGAAACAGACACAGAGGACAAGCTATGGGAACGCACACGGAGCCAGGCTGTGGACCCCAAACAGGACATGAGCAGAGTCCCTCCAGGCCCACCTACAGCCATTCCGGGCCCCAGGGCAGAACAGTCAATGGGCCCCCGCTGGTGTCCATATGCACAAGCCGCACCCACATGGACTCTGTCCGCCTGACATTTGTGTGGTGATGCGCCTGTGCTGGATGGTGCCCAGCGAGCTGCTGGCTGCGCTGCTGGGCGTGCTCTTTCGGTATGGCCAGGGCTTCCACATGCCCATCCGGCTGCCTTCACTGCCACCACTGGTATCACCCCGCACACCATAGGTGCTGACTTTTGGTTGTGCCAGTGGGTGTCCCAACCCGACTCCACCTCCATCCCCAAGGCCAAGCCCCCACTTTGCCCCACTGCACTTCTTCCTTCCCCTGCTCTGGCCCCTCCCCCTAGGTCCCCTCCCCCCGAGTGCCTCCTGCCCACTGCTCACTCCTTTCTGCCCCCTTCTGCCTTAAGGGTGGGATGTGTGTGTTTGGGGGGGGGATCAGCCTCCCCCGTAAACTGACAATTTTCAGTATATTTATACACTTCCTTCATACTCTAGTTATTGAATGTGTGTCTATCACTGGTATCATATCAATCAGGGCCAGCTTTAGGCCAATTCAGCCGATTCGGCTGAATCAGGCCCCGTGCTAAGAGGGCCCCGCACCGCAGCTCTCCACCCCACCCCCAGCTCACTTCCCCCTCCTCCCCTCCGCTGAACGCTCAGCCCCCTGCTCCTCCCCCTCCCCTCTTCCCGCGAATCAGAGGTTCGCGGAAAGTCTGAAAAGTAGCAGGGGCGGGCAGGCAGCACCAGGTAAGCTGGGGTGGCGGGGGGCGCGAGAAGGGCTCCGGGGAGGCACGGCGTGGCCCACTCCAGCCCCGGCCAAGCACCCCTGGCCCCAGCTGCTCCAGCCTGGCTTGGCTCCGGCCCAGCCCCCTCGGCTTGACTCGGCTTCAGCCCGGCCCCCTCGGCTCGGGTCTGGCCCCCCGGCTTGGCTCGGGTCCAGCCCAGCCGCCGCAGCACGGCTCCGGCCCCCCAGCTCAGCTCCGGCCACCGAGCGGCTCCGGGCTGGACCCAAGCCCCGCGACTCCGGCCAGAGCGCGGCCCGATTCCTGGGGGCGGGGCTTGCCGTAAGCCCCACCCCCAGGAATTAGGGCCCACTCTTGTTAAAGCCGGCCCTGATAGCAATCATTATTAAAATAGTAATGAACTACATCATTACATTACCATGAATTACAGTGTATTAAAATCATTACACTCAGCTACAAGCTGTCTTCACTAACATCCCTGTGTAAAGACATTGTGTTCACTCTGCGTCTCACCCCTGCTTAGGGCTTGTTTAGGACCTGAGAGCCACTGTTGACTGTGGAAAGAAGGTGGATGGGAGGCACAAGCAGGGGGGGAGTCTTTCCCCCTCTCCCTTCCTCTTTTCTCTGCTCCCTTCCTATCACTTTCCCTGCCCCTATCCCTCCCTCTTGTTTCTTTTTTAAGTCCTTGCTCCCTCCCCTTCCTGATGTTTCCCCCTTCTTGCTTCCCACCCATGTCCTTTTTCTCATCTCTCGCTGCTCCCCACCTCCTGGGGGCTCTGTCTAGTACCTGCAGAGGAGGTTCCCCCTCCTCAGGTAGGAAGGGTGGCCCAGTGGTCCAGGCACAGACCTGGGGCTCAGGTGTCCCGAGTTTGGTTCCCTGCTCTGCCACTGACTCCCTGCTTAGTCTTAGGAAAGTCACTTCACCTCTGTGTACCCTAGATCCCACCTGCCAAATGGGGCTAATGCTGACCCTGCCTCTGAGGCTGAATCCCTTCATGGCTGTGTGGTGATGGGGGAAATGGAGATACCAAGGTGAGTAGATTGGGCTCCATGCAAAGGGCACGGGAGATGGAGGGGCTCAGGCCAGCTCCACAATGGGGGGTGGGACTTCAGCCCCACATTTTCTGCCAGGGTCATGGGCTTCTTCTCCCCCCCCACCCCACCCAGTGTGGCTCCTGCCGGGGTCATGGGCATATCCCACCTGCCCTGCATGGCTTTTGTCGCGGTCCAGGACTTCCCCGGCCCCCCACCCAGCAGCCAGTGTCCAGGGCTTCTTCTCCCCACCCCTGCCCAGTGCAGCTCTAGGACTTTTCCTTCCCCTAATGTGCCACTGCACCCATCCAGCGTGTGTGCCTAGGAGCCCTGGAGCCTGCTGGGGCGATTTCAAAGGGCCTGGGCCTCCCAGCTGCTGCCACCATGACCAGGCACTGGCAGCAGCCACAACTGGAGGCCCCAGACCTCAGGTGGTGGGTTCCTGTTTGTGGGTTGAAAAGCAAAGACAGACGCTCCTCTGCAGCCCATATGTTGGCACCTATCCATGAGAGGGGTGTGGCTTAGGACACCCCTTCCCCCCTTGTCGGCATCTCCCATTGGCTAGCTTATATAGCTCCCTCCCTCCCCCCATACCGAGGTGGCTTTTGTGAATCGCATTGTAAGCAGTGGCGTAGCCAGGGTTGCTGCCGAGGAGGAGCAGTGGAGAAAAAAAAGGCGCATATCCTTCAGTGGCATTTTGGCGGCCCTGTGCATGTGCCGAAATGCCGCCAAAAGACAGAGCAGCGCATGCACAGGGCTGCCGAAATTATTCTTTTTTCAGAGGCCCTGCACATGCGCCGCTCCATCCTTCGGTGGCATTTCGGCGGCCCTGCGCATGCGCCGAAATGCCACCGAAAGATGGAGCGGCGCATGCGCAAAGCTACTGAAAGACAGGAGCGGCACGCTGCCGAAATCATGGACAAGTGGAAAAGGTGCCACTTGGGGAATTCTGGGCTCGGGGGAGCAGGCGCTTCCCCTGCTCCCCCACCCCCCCGCCCAGGTACGCTACTGATTGTAAGGTGCCTGTGTTGCCCATGTATTGTCTAGGGAGTTTAGGCACCTGACTCAGCTCTGAGGGTCACAGTGCTGCTGTTCCTGTGATTTTCTCATTGCCTAAAAATTACTCACTGTGATGCTCAGCATTGCCACTCCCGAGTCCCTTCATGGATTGCCCCCTGTGCAACCAGTCACCTCTCTGCAGAGCACAGCTGAGCAATTCCTGATTGACATGGGTGTGTACAGGGCAGAGGCAGAACACAAGCTGCTTAGTGCACATCACACAGTAAAACCCAAACTCTCCTCCTAGAGGTGCAATCAGTGCCAGCTCCAGCTTTTTTGCCGCCCCAAGCGGTGAAAAAAAAAAAACAAGAAGAACCCGATCGAGCTGCTGCCAAAGTGCCACTGCCGCCGAGCCAGACGTGCCGCCCCGACAACTGATGCACTGCTGTCCCTTTCCATTTGGCTGCCCCTTCTTTCGCTGGTGCCTGGAGCCGGCCCAGGGTGCAATATTCCCTGTGGGAGCTGGGGGGACACAACCAAGTTGGGAAGCAAATCCCATGACGCTGCCCCCAGCACCTGCAGCTGGGAAAGTAAAGTGGAACACACAAGAAGAATTGTTTGTAATGGTTTATTTACAGTAAGTAGCTGGAAAGTAGCAAAGTAAAAGGAGCTAAGAAGGAGCTTTAATAACCACAGTACGGCAAGGAGATTCCCCAGCTACTGAGAACAGTTTTCTTTATGGCACTAAAATAACACCAATGGCCAGGAATTAATTTAGGAAATTAATGAGTTAGTCTCACTTCCAGTAACATGGCATAAATCTCTCCGTCCTGCTCACGTTCCCTTTCCTTTCATACTCTCCTTTTCTGTTCATTATTGTTCTAGCCCTCACTTCCCATCCCTGTTTATTTCCCTGTGTCTCTCCTCCCTGTCACAGATCATCCCCCTTGGCTGCTCTATTCTTTCCCTGATCTTATCCCTTCCCCTCGTGCTGCTCTCCTGGGCTGGGAGACCCCAATGACATCTGTAAGGACACAGATCTGTACAAAATGCTCCCTGCTGCTGCTGCTTCTCCCACCCCCCAAACCCTGATTGATTCGTGTTGTGTCCCTGCCACCCCCATCTCTGCCTGTCCCCAGCCCGGCTGTTACTGCTACCCACTACTGCCCAGCCCCCACCTCTGCCCCTCCTGCAGCCTCAGGGGTTTTCCCCCTCCCATCCCTGGGGCTGCAGAGGGAGGGGGAGGGGCTTCCAGCAGCCATAGAGATGAGGAGCC